TTTGACAACCAAATTAAATGAAAAATCAACAATAACAACATTACTAAAAGTTTCATAAAAAAAATTTAAAATTGTCAATAAAAGTCTTGCCCTTCCCCACTTTATTCTTCTAGCTCTATTTTTTTATGGCGATGGAGAGCATTCGGATTGCGGCAAGGAGAGCGGCAGCAAGGAAAGACAACGGCTACAGACAGCGGCAAGGATACAGGAATGGTTATGCAGGTGGCTACAGAAAGCGCCAAGGAGACAGGAATGGTTCGACAGAGGGGTACAGACAGTGGAAAGGAGACAGGAATGGTGGTGCAGGTGATATCGCACAGATCGTCGGAGGGTCAACGTCCTTCTTCTTTTATAATTTCCCAGAGGAAATGGAGGCAAAGTTTCTATGGAACAGTTTTCAGATGCACGGCAAGGTAGTGGATGTGTATCTTCCGAGCAAAAGAGACAGGAGAGGGAAAAGGTATGGTTTCGTAAGGTTAACAGGGGTCAAGGATGTGATTCAAATGGAGAGGAGGCTGAATGAGATCTGGATCGGCTCCTACAAGATGAGAGTGAAGATTGCAAATGACAGACAGAGGAAGGAACCAAAATCCAAAAAGGTTCAAGGCGTGTTTAAAGCTAAAGGATCAGCATGCAGCATGTATAGATTGGTTCAACCAGGGCATTCATATGCACAAGCAGTGAAGGGCCAAGGAATAAGGACGGATAACGTATTAGAACAGCTGCAGGAAAAGGTATATGAAGCAGTCCAAGAAAAGGAAGGGGTCAAAGCAGGGATGCAGGAGAATTCGGAGGTAGAAAAAACAGAGGAGACAATTGAATTCAACCCAACGGGAGAAGAGCTGCAATGGCTTGAGGGCGGCATGGTGGCAGTGGTGAGGTCCATGGCAATGGTGTCTGAGATTCAAGAGCACATGGACGCTGATGGAGGTTCAATCTCATTAACACCAATTGGGGGAAGAAGGGTGTTACTAACTGAAAAAGTTGCAGGGGTGTTATCCGATTATATGAAGCTTAACCAAGAGCTGTTTGGATTGTGGTTCGAGGCTATAAAACCGTGGGAGATGGACCCAGAGGAGAGAAGCCGAATGATGTGGTTGCGCATATCCGGGGTGCCTTTAAAGGCATGGAGTGAGAGATGTTTTCAGAGGATTGGAGAGACAATCGGAGAAGTGTTGATGATTCATGAGGATACAAAGAAGAAATCAATCTTATGGGATGGGAGAGTATTGATATTAGGCTCGGAGTCGGGTAAAGTCTCAAAACAAGTTAAGCTCAAGGTGGGAAAGCAGGAATACAACATAGAGATAGCTGAAGAAGAGTGGCGCTCTGATCCGGATTGGTGGTTATCGGAGAACGACCGGAGAAGTGACATGGAAACGGAGTCCGGTTACTCAAACTCGTGGTGTCAGAATGAGGATTCTGATCTGGATTTGGAAGTGATGGGTGACGGTGTGGAGACAAGTAATGGGTCAGAGCATTTAATGAAGGAGATGGTTTCAATTTCAAATCCGAAGAGGGCAACGGAAACGGAGAGCTGCAATCAAGGGGTGAAAGAGACAGTATGGGAAGGGGATGCAGGCTTTGGGCGGTCCAAGGAAATTGGACTACAAAAATTGAGTGTTGATGGGCCAGAAGAAAGCAGTGGGCCGAATAGTGGGATGGGCAGAGGACAGATCACGCATAAGAGCATAGAGGAGCCCAGTTTAAATGCTCAAAACCAAATGGATTCACTGACTCTGCAGAAATCGAAAATCCCAAAAATCGTGAGCAAAAAACAGAGGCTGCTTAGAGAATGCTATCAGGAAAGCATGGAGGAGATCTGGGCAACAGCAGACCCGAGAGCAACGCCCAGAATAAGGCAACGACATGCACGGATGGAAGGAAATTGTCAAGCTGGGGAAGAAAAGGTAGGCATCGCTGTCTCTGTCTCAATTTCAGATGGTTGCATAGAAAATAGGAATAGGGTGCTGCAGAAGGAGTTGAATATGCATGAGGTGCGCCGGATGATGGGGGTGGGGAAGAGGTTGGGTTTTAATATGGAGAATTTTGAGGAGGAGATTCAATCAAAATTAATGGAGGTAGTAGATCGGGAAGGGGCAGGGAAGAAGGACGCGTCGGGGAGGTAAGGGTGGTTGTGCCGAAAGAAGGGTGTGTGACCAGAAGTAATTGATGAAATTAATATCTTTTAATGTAAGGGGCTTGGGTGGGACGCTGAAAAAGAAGGAAGTGAGGAGGATGGTGTCTGTCGAGAAGCCTAATTTTATGTTCTTGCAGGAAACAAAGTTAGAAAAGGTGGATGTTGGTGTTTGTAGACAGTTGTGGAATTCAGATGAGTTTGATTGGGTTGCGAAGGGCTCTTCTGGAGCGTCGGGGGGTCTACTATGTATATGGGACAGGCGGTATTTTGTAAAGAGGGAAGAATTCAGTGGAGATGGGTTCGTGGGAATATCAGGGGAATGGAGTGCAAATAAACAGCTGTATTTTTTAATAAACGTGTATGGTCCAAAGGAGAGACAGAAGAAAGCTAATTTGTGGGAGGAGCTGAGGAGAATGGTGACAGACAAGGAGGGATGTTGGTTAATAGCAGGGGATTTTAATGCAGTGAGAGGTCCTGAGGAAAGAAGAGAAAGAACAGGGGAGACCCCGGACATGAAGGATTTTGATGAGTTTATAACGACAACGGATTTGGTGGATGTCAAATTGTTGAATAGAAGGTATACATGGTATAAGCCAGATGGTTCAGCAAGGAGTAGATTGGACAGATTTCTATTGAACACAGAGATGAGCAATATGGAAGGGGAGTGGATACAGCATGGATTGCCAAGGAATATCTCTGATCATTGTGCTATTGTGCTGAAGTCCAGAACAACTGATTGGGGACCAAGACCTTTTCGGGTTATAGACGCATGGCAACAACATCCAGATTTTAAGAAGCTTGTTGAAGATAAATGGAGGGAGACGGAGGTTGAGGGCTTTGCTGGGTATAAGTGCCAGCAAAAGCTGAAACTACTCAAAGGAGTTTTAAAAGGTTGGAACAAGGAAGTCTTTGGGAACATGGATGCTCAATATGAGCAAGCAGTAAAAAAGATTGAGCAGGTTGACATGCAGAATGAGGTAGCTGATCTGGAAGTTGCTGAGATTGTGAAGAGACAAGAAGGATTCTCTGAGATGTGGGATGTTTTGAGAAAAAAGGAACTTATCTGGAAGCAGAAATCAAGAAGTAAATGGGTGCGTGAGGGAGATGCAAATACCCGTTTCTTTCATAGAGTTGCAAAAGGAAGAAGGGCACAGAATAATATTGCGGGTTTAAGGTGTGAAGGGGAATGGCTTGAAGATCCAGATTTAGTCAAAAATGAGGTCTGCAGATATTTTAGAAGCCTGTTTCAAGGAGAGTCATGGAATAGACCCAAGCCTGGGAATATTAAATTTCAGCAGATCTCTGAGGAGAAGAAGGATTGGCTAGAAAGATCTTTTTCAGCTGAAGAAATCGAGGAAGCGTTAAGGAGTTGTGATGGTTCAAAGGCTCCGGGACCTGACGGATACAATTTCAACTTCCTTAAATTTGCTTGGCAAAGCATAAAGGAGGACTTCATCAACTTTTTCTCTGAATTCCATAGTAACGGAAAATTGGTGAGGGGCCTAAATTCTTCTTTTATAGCCTTGATTCCTAAAAAGTTGAATGTCGGGGGACTAAAGGATTATAGACCCATTAGCTTGTTAGGATGTGTCTATAAATTATTAGCGAAGGTGCTGGCAAATAGATTGAAATCTGTGATAGCAGAAATAGTGAGTGAAACGCAATCCGCCTTTGTAGGGGGCCGACAGTTGGTGGATAGTGTCTTGGTGTTAAATGAAGTTGTTGATGAAGTGAAAAGGAAGAAACAGCCAGCTTTTGTTTTCAAAGCAGATTTCGAAAAGGCATACGATTGCGTAGATTGGTCCTTTTTGGACTGGATGATGGAGAGGCTTGGCTTTGGAACAAAGTGGAGAGGCTGGATTAGGGAATGTCTTTCAACGGCGAGAATCTCGGTTCTGGTAAACGGAAGCCCGACAAAGGAATTTGAGATGGGTAAAGGTTTGAGACAAGGAGACCCTTTATCTCCTTTTCTCTTTTTGATGATTGCAGAGGGGTTACAAGGGCTGGTCAAGAGAGCAGTAAAGGAGGAAATGTTGCATGGGATTGAGATTGGAAAGAAAGGTTTGTCAGTGTCGTTGCTCCAGTTCGCGGATGATACAATTATAATGGGCAAAGCGGATGCGGAGAATATATGTATGGCGAAGGACATCCTAATATGGTTTGAACTTATGTCGGGATTGAGGATTAACTTTAGTAAGAGCAGCGTGTTCGGTTACAATGTGTCTGAAAAATGGCTTAAAGGTGCAGCGAGTATGCTACATTGTAGGGTTGGTAAAGCACCTTTTCTTTATCTGGGATTACCTGTTGATGGCAGATTTGGGAGCAAGAAATTATGGGAGCAGGTCGTAAATAAGTTTCGTACCAAACTCGCTGTCTGGAAGGCCGCTACTCTTTCCTTTGGAGGCCGTCTCATCTTGCTAAAATCGGTACTCTCTGCACTGCCCATTTTTTATATGTCCTTATATTTATTACCAAATTCTGTGCTTGATGAGTTGATTAGAATACAAAGGAACTTTTTATGGGGCGGGACAGGGTCAATTAAGAAAATTTATTGGGTTAGATGGGAAGATGTATGTCGTGAGAAAGCCAAAGGGGGTCTTGGGGTGGCAGATTTACGGAGGAAAAACTGGGCAATGATAGGAAAGTGGTGGTATAGGTTAGGTGACGGGGTCGAGAGTCTATGGAAAAGGGTGGTGAGGGAGAAGTATTATGGAGGTAGGGAGGAGGTTGATATTACTTCAATTGAGTGTTTAAGGGTATCAAAGCTTTGGAGGGACATCATAAGGATAGGGGGTCTGTCTCTCAAACTTAGGAACATGTTAGTTGAGGGCTTCAAGTGGGAGGTGGGGGAAGGAAATAGAGTGGAGTTCTGGCTTAATAGGTGGGTTGGAGATAAGAGCCTTAGGGATCTTTTTCCAAGATTATTTGCACTAGCTGTAAAGAAGGAGGGCAAGGTTGCTGAAATGGGGACTTGAGAGGAGGGTAGATGGTGCTGGCGGGTGGAGTGGAGGAGGGGTACAAGAGGGCGAGAGAAAGATGAGGAAGAATTGTTGGTGAAGGTGCTGGAGGGTGTCAATCTAAAGGAAGGGGCGGGGGATGTTTGGAAGTGGGTACATGGGATGGATGGTAAATACGTGGTGAAGCTAGCGTATGATTTCCTAGCTTCGTCCGAGAGAGTTTTGGAGGACCAGATGTGCAAACTAACAGGGTGCAAGTTGGTGCCATCCAAAGTGGCTTTTTTTGGGTGGCGATTGTGTTTAGATAGACTCCCAACAAAGAATAACTAGCAAAACCGAGGGATACTATTGCAGGAGGGGGTTTTATGCGAATGTGGTAAAGGGAAGCTGGAGGAAGTTAATCATTTATTTTGTGTATGTGATAATGCGTGGTTAGCTTGGACTCAAGTGTTGAGTTGGTGGGGTTTAGAGTCTGTTATGCCTAACACAGTTGGGGGAGTGGCAGAATTTTTCATTGGAGGTTTGGGTAGAATAGTTGGAAAGGAGATGGGCTCATGTGTTTTTCTAGTGGTCGTTTGGTATTTATGGTATAGAAGGAATGCTCAAGTGTTTCGAAAAGATGAAGGAATACCAGAAAACCTGCTGGAAAGGATACAAGTTAAAACCTTTGTATGGATTAAATCCAAAATCAATGGCTGTGTTTTTTCCTTTTATGAATGGCAATCCTGTCCAATGGAGTGCGCTAGGTCTATCAAAAATCATAAAAGGATGAGGAAGCAGTTCTATAAAGCGGTAGCTACCTCCAGATGATGGATAGGAGGAGCAGATTTCTCTTTAATGTTTTGTCTTGGGCACCTGACGCTTTTGTTGTATGTGGTGGTTGATTAGTTGTATTTCTGGGTATTAGGAGAGTGGCTCTCCTCTGTTCTGGTTTCCTATTTTTGTATAAGGGCAGGAGCACCCCTTGTGCTTCATTATATTAATTTTTCTTTTGCTGATCAAAAAAAAAAAAAAACTTTATTCTTCTAGCTCTGCCTACGCGTGTAGTTTAGGATTTTGCTATATAATTTAATATTTTTTAAGGTAGTTGAGGAAGGACTTTGATTTGC